TGTGCGTGTGTGTGTGTGTGTGTGTGTGTGTGACAGTACCATTGAAAGAGGGAGTGAGGAATTATTTGTTTGTTCATATTTTTTTGATATTACATTGAGAACAGAATGTTATAGAGGAAATGTGTATAACATCTTCAAGTATGAGACATTATAGCCAAGAATGTTCACTGGTCAATGGTGTATGTCGTTCATAATCTCAACACAGCTGGCCTTGCATTATCTCTTTTAGTTTCGATATTGATTTATTCGGAAAGAGACACGGACTTTAGAAGGTGACTTACATTTGCTGTTAGGTCATCACTCTGCTGTATATCAGGTTTTATTGGATCAAATGATTGCCCGTCCACCCCCCAGTTTAGGTCACCTGAATATTATACCTCTAATGCTACCTGAGGGGTGATAGGTTAGGTTAGGTTACGTAATCGTTAGGGTGTTTACTCGTGTGGTGAAATAAGCTGGGGCTATTTTTCATGTGATCCGTTTTATGTAATGAGAACTTGAGGAATTAGAACAACAATGACCAACCATGTGAGAGAGTGAGAGGGTAAAATTTTTTGTCAATGATTCAGTCAGATTTTGGTAACCTCATCTTCAAAAAGTCATAATAATAAAATTTACGATTATACGCATGGCAGACCGCAACGTTTGTGCTCCTTCCCTCAACCTCCGTCTCTCCCCTCCCCAAAACCCGACGAGAGTTCCTTTGTCACCTCTCCTCCAGCTTCCTGTTTTGATAAGCTTAACAAAAACGTCAGAGTTAGCATAAGGGAGAAAAACCCTGGTCGGGGAAGGCATCATCACAAAGGGTTGTATAATAAGCGACTTGTGTGAGGGAATGTTTTGTTACGTGGTGCGTTTTGTTGAGTCCTGCTGCCCTCCTTGTGGTTGGGTTGATGGCTGTTGATACACTCGTGGCGGTGAGCCTCCTCAGGGCCCTTGTAATGATATCTCCTACAAAAACAAACTACAGGCTGGTGGCCCCTTATTAAGATGATAATAAATGCATAACCACACACACACACACACCTAACCTAACCTAACCTAACATACAAATTCCTTATTGATTTTATTATTTTATTCATATACGATTTCTGTGTCCTCCTCCCCCCTCTCTCTCTCTCTCTCTCTCTCTCTCTCTCTCTCTCTCTCTCTCTCTCTCTCTCTCTATCGCCTTCCTCCCCTCACTTTCCTAGAATTGATGAAAGTATCACCTTATCCTTTATACACACCACTTTTCTACACAAAGCACTACCACTGTCACCACACCATCATCACTAGTACCTAGCACTACACCATCACCACCACGCCACCGTCCACTGTCACCACCACCCTACCATCACCACCACCACCACCACCCACCACCACCCACCACCACCACCACCGCCACCCCGTCCACTATCACCACCACCACTACCATACACCACCACCGCCACCACCACCACCACTATCACCACCACCACCACCACCACTATCACCACCACAACTACTACCACCATCACCATTTGTGAGAGAGAGAGATGGATACGAGAAGCCCAAAGCGACCCAGGCGGCTTCTCTTTGCTTTCATTCATTCATTCATTCATTCATTCATTCATTCATTCATTCATTCATTCATTCTCTCTCTCTCTCTCTCTCTCTCTCTCTCTCTCTCTCTCTCTCTCTCTCTCTCTCTCTGTTAATATGACACCACGAATACCCGTACGATTCATATATTTTAATAAGGGTTCATAGATTTCAGAATGGATCGTACTGTTCAATATGGATCAGGCAAGAAAGATCCTATACTTCAGAGAGGATCCTGTACTTCAATAAGGATCGCGCGTCTCTGTATAAATCGCACACTTCAATATGGATCTTGTTGAAAAATGGTCTAAAAAAAAAATTGGTCCTGACAAAATGGATGGACGATGCTGGTGGTGGATTATTATTATTGTTGTTGTTGTTGTTGTTGTTGTTGTTGTTGTTGTTGTGGGGAAAGTATACCTCATTGATAGCGGGGAGGCTTTTTGAGGCTGGCAGACTGAAAATTTTGGGTAGGGTTTATAATTTGATTTGTGTGTGTGTGTGAAAGAGAGAGAGAGAGAGAGAGAGAGAGAGAGAGAGAGAGAACAGTGTTATATTCACCCACAAGATGCACCAGTGTTCAAGGGACCATCTATGTCTTCCACACGAGCATTATCGAGATTAACTCCTTATTTTTTTTTAGTTGCCTGTCATTATCGAAAACTGGTTAACTGCAGGATAACTCATAGCTGTATTTTAGTTCTGAGAGAGTTCAGTTAGAAAAATAAATTCATGTCGAGAGGAAGTCAAAATAAACTCGGAACACAATACAAAACTAATGAAGTTTTAAAAATTGCAAGAAAAATTAATTAGAATTATATTAACGCTTATCCAGTATGAAAATGTGAAAGATTAAAGACGACACACACACACACACACACACACACACACACACACACACACACACACACACACACACACACACACACACACACACACACACATAAACACACATAAACACGCAGATACGCACACATATAACTATATTTTTAGTAACAGCATCAACGGGGAGGAATAAAGAAAAATATATAAATTCTTTTCCTGGGAAGCCATTTACTGACTCTGACGTTATATAGGTTATGTGTACTTGTGGGCTGTGTTATTATTTCTCGCGGTTTATCCTGTAATATTTTTCACTTATCTATGAATAAGCGTTGTGTGTATTGATTGTTTAATATTTAAATTTTATGGCGGAGGAGGAGATGTAGGAGGAGGAGGAGGAGGAGGAGGAGGAGGAGGAGGAGGATGAGGAGGAAGGGGAGGAGGAGGAGGAGGAGGAAGAGGAGGAGGTTAGAAAATTTAGGAAAGTCTGTTATGAAATAGTAACAGAATTAAGTACTGTACTCGGGATATTCAAACACGATTTTTACACACTAAATTTTTTTGTCTAAAACCCCAGGTATGGATCTTCCCTCCTACAGTAGTGCCTGGTACCTAGACCTGGGTGTTACGATTCTACTCAACTTAATCCCTATTGGCTGTGACAATCATTCCCTCCCTATCCCTCGTTTAGCGGATTCATCTGTAGTACGAGGTTGAGTACAGGTCACCGCTTGACCTGTACTCACACACACACACACACACACACATCTGATCAGCATCATGATCGCTTCTGTCAGTTTGAAACAAAGTTGCAATACCTTCCTTGCCACCGTCTTCTGCTACCACCTGAGGGGATCCCAGGGACTCCAGGTGGTTCCCATGGGGTCTCAGTGGGACCCAAGGAATCCAAGGTGTTCCTTTTGGATTTCTGTTGGATCTAAGGGGGTTGCTTAAGGGGACCAATGGGTCCTTTGGGGTATTCAAGAGACCTTGATGGGTCCCAGGAAGGCCTTGGGGAGTCCCAGGCCAAGGGGATCCCAGTGTGTTTTGGTGGTTCCCAGGGAATCTTGGTGGGTCCCAGAGAATCTTAGGGTGTTCCGGGAGTTTTGGTGGGTTCCAGGAGACCCGTAGTGGGTCCCAGTGGGTCTTGGTGGATCCCAGAATACCGTGGAGTTTCCAGGGGGCCTTGTGGGCGCCAGGGGGTCTTAGGGGGCCTCAGGAGGTCACCCCAACCCAACCCAACCCAACCCAACCCAACCTAACCTAACCTGTAGTGCGTCAATAGAATACCGTTGATAAAGTATGAGGTGTATTCTTTCCACCACGGGAGGAAAAAACAGCTTAGACTAGATTTACCCCCGGGATGGTATCTGACCTGGGCCTGTACATATATAACCATGTATAAACTGGGGCCGCGGGGACGGTGGGGGGGGGGTAATAATGGCCTGATACACCGACAGGACTGAATAGACGGAATGGATATGTTTACATGGAGGTGATTAAATTCTTTTTCTGGTTCTATAGATGAATGGAATTTGTGTGTGTGTATACCTGTCGTTAAGTAAGCTGCCTAATGATATATTTATAGATACAACGAAGAATGGCGGTTATTAAGGAGGTAATTATGGAGAGATAGAAAGAAATGTGACTAAAGAAGAATTGATAGATAGATAGATAGATGATAGATAGATAGATAGATAGATAGCTATATAGATAGATAGATAAGGGGAGGGAAGATAAGAGTTTATAGCACAGCAATTCAACTCGTTATCATATTTATATATTGATAAAAAGGTGAATAAGTCTCTATGGCAACCAAATCAACCTTTTCACTATTTCAGGTTCAGAAAATAAAGGGTTTATAGAAAAAGTGAATTTAGTTCAGCCTGATTTAACTACAGAGAGAATATAAAGAGTTCATAGGACATAAGTCAACCCATCTTTGTGTTTCATGTATTTAAAAAACAACAGCAGATTAGCTCACAAAACTCGGTGTGATTTTCCTTTTAATTTATACATCTGCTTCCATGAACTCTTATGTTGATATCACTTTAATGTGATTATTATTCCGTATGTCGGGATGGAAAACTGCGTGTATGGGGGGGGATATTTATGGTGATTGGAGAGATAACAACACGCCTTAAAGAACTTGTAAACCCCTCCCCTCCCCTCCCCTCCCCTTCCCACCCCTCCCCAAAGCGTTTTATTTTTAATTAGACTACAAAGTCATCTAGGGGAAAGTTTATTAATATATAAAATCGTTAATAAAATTATTATAAATCTTGTTGACATTTTTCATTGATGTGAACTTTTGATTCGTTGTACAATATAATGTTATGGTAAGAGTTATCTAAGAAGTACTTACTGTTTGTATTCGTATTGAGAGTTTGAGAGCTGTTGTGAGGAGAGAGTTGGAATGAGAGGGGGAGAGCAGTTGTGAGATAGAGTGAGAGGGTGAGATTGTCTGGGAGAGAGGCGAAGTGAGAGACAGGGTCCAGAGGGAGAGAGTGTGTGGGGAAGGATGAGAGTGAGTGAAAAAAGGCGAGAGATAAAATATAGTAAAGGGAGTAGTTATGGGAGTGAGAGGGTGAGGACAGACAGACAGACAGACTCACCTTGCGCCTGCACCCTGGCTGTGAGCTGCAACAGGAGGTCCGGGGTAGTGTTCTCAGCCACCTTCGTCACGTACTTGGACTGCTCAAACTCCACTGGTCCACTGCCCACCAGCTTGGTCACTGTAACACCACAACACACGTGAGTTAAATACACGTCGGTATATTCCTTCCCACACACATACTGTATAGACAACCGTTCATGCATATTTGTTTAATCGGATACAATATCTCACTTATATTATTTACGATTACAACCATTTCCAGTCAGGATGTAAACCAACATCTTTGATAACAGTACGGTACCTGTGTTTACTCTCAGGGTACGAACCATGCCTATAAAACAACAACTGGCGTTTTTGTCAAATAAGGATAGATTTTAGTTTTTATTGCTACACCTTCAGGAAAATTAATTCGTACATGCGAAAGTTTGCTGTTTCATTTAAGACGTCGTTTACCTTAATAAGAAACCAAAAGTCTACCTAAAGTATGTAAGGTAAGTTTAGGTTAGTTTAACTTACTGTAGGTTAAGTTAGTTTCTTTATATAAAACTATTCAACTTTGTATTATAATGACGTCCATAATCGTCTGTGTCCAGTTCGAAGATTCAGAATTAAAAAATAAAAATAAAGAAGCTATGCCGCTTTCATCTCTCTTGCTATGCTCTTTTATTTCCATTATGGGTCACAAAGTTATCACAAGGCTACTTGGTGTAAGACTGGCCTCCCAGAGACCCACGTCGCCGTATAGGACGAATGTGAACCCAGTCTTTTTGGCCACTAGTATTATTTTGTCAAACATTTACTAGAATACAAATTCACAATTCTATAATATGTGATAACAAAGGCTTTTGACAATATATTTATACAAATCATAAATATATACCGTACATAAACTACTCTGTAAAGCTACAACTGCTGTAATACAAACATTAATACAGTCAGTTATGTAGAGCAATATCATATTAATTCACAACTCGAATATTAATGAACTCCTGTCAAACAGATGCGGCAGTAAGATACTTATACCAGAATAGGAACAAACATGTAACAGGGTATGTGGAGAATTTGAACACATCATTGTAACTGATATACGTACATAATGTATATTGAGTCTCTCTCTCTCTCTTCGTGTGACCCAACTTGAAACGGATTATAACTCCTACATTAACCAGGGGAATGAGAACGGATGATCACATTGCACAGTCAGTTCCGCTCAACATAGACGAGGACGAAAGGGCAAGTGACCACACGGACCTTCCAATAGATAAATAGTATACCATTATATATGGAGCCATAATGTGAACTGATCTTTATTGACTGGGATAATTTCAACACTGACCCCCCCCCATCCTCCACACCCGCTGTCATTCACTCTCATAAACTACCTAACCAGATCTGTTTTATATAGTAAGTAAAGCACCGTTTGGAAGTGAGATGTGTGAGATAGTGTGCTAGAATTATGGGTGTGAATATGAGGTGCAGGTGATGTAGTAGTGTAGGTTATCGGTCACTGTTACAGGTGCGAGGAATGTTACGTGTTTGTTTAACACACACACACACACACACACACACACACACACACACACACACACACACACACACACCACACACACACACACACACACACACACACACACACACACACACACACACACACACACACACACACAACACACTTAAGATATATTGCAGAAGTTGGCCACAAAATTCCCTGATAAATGCAATATTTTGCAATATTAATTGCAAGTTGAGAGACAGGTTGAACCTTCGTATAATGAGGCAATACCACGACTCGAAAAAATCAAGTTCTTTTTCCAATTAAGGTACGAAAGAGGAATTTTACCTCCTCGGGGGAGATCCCACAAGTTACAGGTCTTAAGTTCTTTGTGTCCAGCCTAATTACCAATATAATTTGGCAGGTGCAATAATTAATTACTGGTGTAAAGCTTGACGTATAAATTAGTGTATAGTGTGAACTTTTATATATACAAACATTTTCTCTTTTTTTTTCACGCCATTCACAATTTAATCTAAAAAGCTCTCAAAGGCAATATCGTGGTTGGAACAGGAAGCTGTAATGTAACTTTGGTGTAAAACAGATTCCATTGTGTAAATTTCCCTTTCCAATAAACCGATTAACTTTGTGATAAAACAACCGGGGAAATGGGTTCGCAAATGTTCGCTCCACTTTTCATTTGCGAGGATTAAATTTAGCCAATCCCCACCTCCATACGTTAAAAACATTTTGGGAAACGTGCAAGCACAGTCAAACACCATTGAACTATGATCACGCTGACATTTTTTGCTAATATAACAGCTGGTAATACGTACCGCAGCGTAAAAAAAATACTCTGAAGGGATAAAAAATGAAAATATATTGTGATTTTTATTAATGTAATGACTGTAGAGTTAATTGGTATTAGTGAGAGTTCACACTTCCAAATTAATGGGATTTTGACAATACTGTATTGTCCGGGCTGAACCGTGATGAAAATGTGGTGGTGATGCCCAGCTGTTGTGTTGGTGTTCGTGTGTTTTACAGAGAGAGAGAGAGAGAGAGAGAGAGAGAGAGAGAGAGAGAGAGAGAAAACCATGGGAAGTTATTTGTGATAATTATACCAAAACAATAACAATACCACAACGAACAAAATAACAAAAATGAATACAAAATAAAAACAGCATAACCCTTCCTATTTTTTTTCCAACTCAAATTTCTACTTTCACTGTAAAAAAAAATAAAAAATAAAAAGTTTCATTATCCAAAGTTAATCTCAGTTTTAAGTCAGGCGAAGAGCAAATTAGGAATGGGAATGAGGATTTTCGGTCAGCTGATGTTTGGATTCTTGGATGTATTTGTTTACATGGAAGGCAATATAGACCCCGAAAGAGATCATTGTAGATATGTGTGTGTGTGTGTGTGTGTGTGTGTGTATTGTGCTTGAGATAGAGAGAGGAAAATAAAACAAGGTATTGATCAGATATTACAGAGAGAGAGATACAAGAAAGAAAGAAAAGAAAGAAAAGCCAATAGCCGTAACATATCCAGATTTTAAAAGGAAAAAAAAGTGAGTTTAATTTCCTTCTCCACATATAATAAATATTAACACATACTGTTTGTGTAACAGCAGTCCACACACACACACACACACACACATACACACGCACACACTCACACACACACACACACACACACACACACACACACACACACACACACACACACACACACACACACACACACACACACACACCATGACTGTCCAACCTTTATTCTTTTTGAGTAATTATGAGTTTATGCAGTTTTTATCGTCCTGCAGAAACTCCGAGAGAATCCAATTTCGACTTAAAATCGCGACATAATTGGCAGGGACACATTCCCCACGCCGCGCCATCTACTGAGACAGATCAAACTTTATAGTCTCTCTGTCTCTGTCTCTCTCTCTCTCTCTCTCTCTCTCTCTCTCTCTCTCTCTCTCTCTCTCTCTCTCTCTCTCTCTCTCTCTTTTGTTTTCATTCCCCCAATATTTATCTTTGCCTTTTCTCTCCTTGCCTTTATCCTTGTCTCTCACTTTCTCTTGTCTGTCTCTCTGTCTCTCTGTCTGGGCCTAGTGATTCTCTTCCCTCCATTGTGTTCACTCCAGGTCCCTCTCTCTAGCTTAATTCGCACTCTAGTTAAACGTACAGGGTCCACCTCGAGTCAGCTTAATCCTTGGGTTAGGTTTAAAGCTCACGTACGTACATGGCTGTGTGTGTTCACTGTACGCGTAGTGTTCTGTGCCTACACGACGATTAAGTTACCTAATGAAGTTTGCTGAGCTGAGATCTTTATTCTATTAGCAGTAATTATGAGGGAGTGAGCGTTCGTTGTTTGAGTATCTCTCTCTCTCTCTCTCTCTCTCTCTCTCTCTCTCTCTCTCTCTCTCTCTCTCTCTCTCTCTCTCTCTCTCTCTCTCTCTCTCTCTCTCTCTCTCTCTCTCTCTCTCTCTCTCTCTCAGTTTGTTCCTGTCTGTCTTTGTTTGTCGATCTGTTTGCCTCTGTATCTGCCTGTCTATTTTTCAATCTCACTCTGTCTGTCTGTCTGTTTGTCTCTGTCCGTTGCTGATAATCATGGCACTCCCTCGGGGTCCTTAGGGAGAGTGTGGTCCATATTATAACAGTCGTATAAACCGTGTCCTAGTTATCGCTTCCTGAGGTCGGCTCCTCTTGTTGTCTGTAGTGAATGAGGTGAATCGAAATGAAGCCAAAAGTCTCTCTGTGGTTCCCTGACTCTCTCTCTCTCTTCTTGCCTTTTGTAAACATTTGTCTCTGTTATCACTTTGGTAAACATCAGTGATATATCCCTCCTGTAAACACTTATCTCCGGCATTCCTTAGGTAAACATTTATCTTATATCTGGTATTCATACTTTATTATCCTCTGTGCGACAGTTCCATCAACACTTTCTTCGAATTACGTGAAAATTAACCCCTTAGATTATTTCACGTAATGATCAAACAACCAAACACTTTGGGGGTTTAGATTAGCTTAGCTTAGCTTAGCTTAGCTTAGCTTAGCTTAGCTTAGCTTAGCTTAGGGTTGTTTATTGTAAAATTAACTAAGCTGGGGTTTTAATCTTCATGTGGTACAACACGTTTTTCTTCAATTTCATCTTAGGAGTCTGTTTTTATGTGAGCAAACGTCCACTTCATCACTGCTCCTCCACACATCTGGGGTGCACAGCGCGTCATGCTGGCTGGTGATCATCATCATCTGCCTCTTCTGGGCGGCAAGTGTAACCTGCCATAGCCTACCCAGGGCGGATATTAACACCGGCCGCTGATTGATGGCCTGCAGGGCTCACACCTCCTTCACTTTTATACAAGAGGGAGTTAGTGTTGTCATCTGTGTGGGCGCTGACCTCCGAGTGTTGGTTGAGAAGGTTCTTTTGTCTGTATGTTGGTTAATTATTTGTGTGTCGGTCTGTGTCTCCGTCTCTTATCCCACAGTCGCACTCGCCAACACACCACAGATTCTCTCCTCCACTCCGCCCTCTGTACACACTCATTGTCACCCTCCCCTCCCCATCATAGTCTCAGTCTCACACACACACACACACACACACACACACACACACACACACCG